CTGCTGCTGCTGCTGCTGCTGCTGCTCCGTCTCTTGAGAAAGCCAACGGTGAGTTTCTTTAATTCCTTCTTCAACATGAGGAAGAAGACTAAAAACAAAAAGAGACAAAGAGAGAAAAGGAGACACTTAAAGGGACAAAAGGAGATGAAAGCAGCAGCAGCAGCAGCAGCAACTGCTGCTGCTGCTGCTGCTGCTGCTGCTGTAAAAACAGAGACAGAAGGACAAAAACAATCAAACAAAAACTGAAACAAAGGAGACAAAAAGGAGACAAAAAAGGGACGACTAAAAGACAAAAAGGAGACAAACAAGAAATAAAAATAAAAAAAAACAAAACAAAAAAAGGAATAAAACAGACTTGTCTGCAAACTTTGGGTCCTCTTTTAGCTGCTGGTAAATTTGTGCTGCAGTTTGGCAGCGGGGATGATCTGCTGTGACAATGTGAACTCCCTAAAAGATAAAAATAAAAATAAAACAAATAAAACAAATAAAATAAATAAAATAAACAATAAAACATAATTTAAAAATAAATAAAAGAAAGAAAATGAGTAAAAGAGATTAAAAAGCCGATTTAAGGGGGTTTAAATCAGCCCCTCTACGCTGATTTAGGGTTTAGAGTTTGGGGTTTAGGGTTTAGGGTTTCGGGCATTTTTAATCTCCTACTCCGGAGTTTAGGGTGGCAATAAACCGGTGTTTTGATCAGGGTCTAGCGATTAGTGCTATTTTTCCTTACCTTTAAATCTCTAATTTAGGGTTTAGGGTTTACGGCCTAGGTCTACTTCGAGAATGTTATCTAGGGTTTAGGGTTTAGGGTTGGACTTTGAGGCGGTTGTTGAGGGGAAAACAAAAGTGCCCCAAAAGGGGCTGGAGGAGCAGCTAGGGTTTGGGCTTTGGGACGCAGGCGTGTTGGGCCCGCAGGGCCTAGGGTTTAGGGTTTAGGGTTTAGGGTTTAGGGTTGGACTTTGAGGCGGTTGTTGAGGGGAAAACAAAAGTGCCCCAAAAGGGGCTGGAGGAGCAGCTAGGGTTTGGGCTTTGGGACGCAGGCGTGTTGGGCCCGCAGGGCCTAGGGTTTAGGGTTTAGGGTTTAGGGTTTAGGGTTGGACTTTGAGGCGGTTGTTGAGGGGAAAACAAAAGTGCCCCAAAAGGGGCTGGAGGACTTGAGGGTTTCTTTCGGTGGACAGACACCCGAAGAGGCGCACGGGGGCGCCGAAGTGGCGGTGGCCCACTTCCTGCGGAGGGGACAAAAGGGGACAAAAAGGGGACAAAAAAAGCAAAAAGGAGACAAAAAAAGCAGAAAGGAGACAGTTTGAAGGGGAATTAAAGGGAGGACTAACGGAGGGTTTGCAGGCGAAAAGGCGGGAGAAAAGGAAACAAAAAGGGACAAAAAGGGACACAAAGAGCTGGAACTGGAGATGGTTTTGAGTTTTGGGGCGAAGGGGATTGAAGGGGGTGGAAGGAGACAAAATGGAATTTAAAAAGAGACAAAAAGGAGACAGTTGGAAAGGCAATTGAAGGGACAGTTGGGGAGAAGTTTGGAGAAGAAAAAGCGGAAGAAAAGAGACAAAAAAGAGACAAAAAAGAACAAAAAAGGAGAGAAAATGACAAAAAAGAGACAACAAGAGACAGGCCAAGAGCTGCGCTGCAGCAGCACCGAGGGCCTGGGGGCTGCTGCGCGGAGGAGACAAAAAGAGACAAAAAATAAAATAAAATAAAATAAAATAAAATAAAATAAAAATAAAAAATGAAATAAGAGAAAAAATGAAGTGAAATGAAAGAGACAAAAGGAGAGAGGTGCAAGGGCAAAGAGGGAACAAATGGGGAATTATTTGAAGAGAAAAAAAGGAGACAAAAAGAAATTAAAAATCCAAAAGTTAAAAAATAAAATAAAAATTAAAAAAGAGAGACAAAAAAACACGAAAAGAAAAAAAAGGGACAAAAAGGAGACAAAAAGGGATAAAAGGGAGATAAAAGGAAATTAAAAATAAATTTAAAAAATTAAAAAATTAAAAATTGAAAAAAATAAAAGGAGACACTCAGAAACACCGTGTTCTGGGTTACAGCCGATATGCTGGAGACCGCAGCAGCAGCAGCAGCAGCAGCAGCAGCAGCAGCAGCAGCTACCTGGAACAATCTATCTAGGGCAGATTCGTTGTGGCCCACATCTACCACAACACCCAGAGGGACAGGCAGTTGAACTGCTGCTGCTGCTGCTGCTGCTGCTGCTGCTGCTGCTGCTGGCGTTCCTGCTGCTGCTGCAGCAAAACTCTTCAGCGCTGCTGGTGCACCTCCGTCTGCTGCGTCTGCAGCTGAAGCCGCATTTTCCGCCGCTGGCTCGTACCCGTTGCTGCCGCTGCTGCTGCTGCTGCTGCTGCTGCTGCTGCTGCTGCAGAGTCGTGCTGCAGCACGCAGCTGCTGCTCGTCCAGCCACTGTCCCCTCAGCGGAGGGACAGCAGCAAGTGCTGCTGCCAATTCGTTGGGGGCCAAATCGAGCCTCAAGACGTGCTGCGCCACCACCCTGGACGCAAACAACAAATTAGGGTTTAGGGTTTAGGGTTTAGGGTTTGCGGCTTCCAGCGGCAGCTCCCCTGTGATGGCTACAATTGCCACATTCTGTAATACCACTTTTAATTCACTATTTATTATTTATTATTAAACAATAAATTATTTAATATCATTTATTATTCATTGCCATTTATTATTTATTATTTACTTATTATCTTTATTATTTATTTATTTGTTATTCACATTTATTTATTATTTTTATTTATTATTATTATCTTTATACTTCCAACTTCTCGCCATTCGCTGCACGTTTTTGTTTTTCGGCCAATTTTGGACATTTTGGTTTCATTTTAATTCCATTTTGAAGCAACTGAGGCGAGGAATTGAACTAAAGATGAATTAGGGATTCATTTTGCATCATTTGCGTCCAAATTGGAGTTAAATTCGACGAAAATCGGCGAAAACGAGAAAAACGGACTGCGCGACGTTGGCGTTTTCGGCCTGAAAAGTGTCTCCTCGGGGGTCTCCTTTGGCCTCCCACACTTCGCACTGCAGCGCCGCAGCGCGCTGCCAAAAGACCGGAAAAGCTGCTGCAGAAGGGCCTAAAAGGGGACAAAAAGAGACGAAAGGAGACAGCTGGAGCCGCCAAAAAGGAGACAGAAAGATGCAGAAGCATGCGGGGAGGAAGGTGGACAAAAAAGGAGACAAAAAGCACCAAAATTGAGCGAAATAGGACTCCTGAAGGGCCCAAAAAAGAGACAAAAAGAAACAAAAACAAAAAAGAGACAAAAGGAGACAAATGGAGACATTTAAATGAAATAAAAAAGAGACAGAAAAATCCAAAAAGATAAAAAAAGGAAAAAAAGAAAAAAAGAAAAAAAGGAAAAAAAGAAAAAAAGAAAAAAAGAAAAAAAGGAAAAAATGAAAAAAGGAAAAAATTAAAACATGAAAAGCGAAGACAGAAAAGATGCTGCAGAAGGGGATAAAGAGGGACAAAAAAGGAGACAAAATAATGAAAATAAAAATGAAAATAAAAATAAAAATGAAACAAAAAAGAAGCAAAAAAGAAATAAAAAAGGGGGACAACAGGAGACAAAATAAAAGCAAAGAAATAAATTAAAAGGAAGTTAAAAAGAAGTAAAAAAGAAAAAGAAAAAAAAGAAAAGAAAAAGAAACGAAAAAGAAATGAGGAGACAAGAAGGAGACAAAGAAGCAGGAGACAGAATGTTCAAGATAAGGTAGTTTTTATTTATTATTTATTTATCGTCATCTATTATTATTTATTTTATTATTGTTTATTTATTTATTTATTTACTGATTAATCAATCAATTAAATGAATTAAAACAATGAATGCAAAACAAACAAACGAACAAACAAAACAGAGGAACAACAAATAAACAAACAAACAAGTAAAACAAATAAATAAACAAATAAATAAATTAATTAATTAATTAATCAAAGTAAATAAATAAATAAATAAAATTAAATAAAAAATAAAAATTACCCAAGACAACAGCTGCGCCCTTTTTGATGATGTGGGATTTCTCTTCGGCGATTTCCTCCAAAGTGTTTCCCAAGATCTGCATGTGGTCGTAGCCTTCAAATAAAAATAAATAAATAAATAAATAAATAAATAAATAAATAAATAAATAATAAATAAAAAATTTAAAAAAATAGATAAAATTAAAATAAAAATAAATAAACATTAAAGAAATAATGATAGTTGGTTAATTGGGGAGAAGTGGATCGGCGGCACTCGTCAGAACAGCAGCAGCAGCAGCAGCAGCAGCAAGAGAGCAGCAGCAGCAGCAAGGGAGCAGCACAGCAGCAAAAGGCAGTAATAGAAGCAGCAGCAGCAGCAGCAAGAGACAGTAATAGGAAAAGCAGCAGCAGCAGCAAAAGGCAGTAATAGCAGCAGCAGCAGCGGCAGCAGCAAAAGGCAGTAATAGCAGCAGCAGCAGCAGCAGCAGCAAAAGGCAGTAATAGCAGCAGCAGCAGCAGCAAAAGGTAGTAATAGAAGCAGCAGCAACAGATGTGAAATAAGAAGACACAAAAGCAGCAAAGGGACCAGACAGGGAAAACGAAAGAAGTGTCAGCAGCAGCAACTGCAGCAGCAGCAGTAGCAGCAGCAGCAGCAGCAAAAAGAAGCCAAAGAACGGAAGAAAACGAGACAAAAGGAGCCAACAAGTGGGAAAGGATTAAACAAGAAAGGAGACAAAAAAGAGACAAAAAAGGAAACAAAAAAGAGACAAAAAAGAGACAAAAAAGAGACAAAAAAGAGACAAAAAAGGAAACAAAAAGGAGACTAAAAAGGAGACAAAAAAGAGATTAAAAGGAGACAAAAAAGAGACAAAGAGAAATGCAATCAGAAAAGGAGGACCCAAAAAGAGTGGACACAAAATGGAGAAAAATCGAGAAAAAGAAGTGAAAAGGAGGAGAGAAAAAGGAGCCACAAAGAGAACCAAAAGGAGACAAAAAGGAGACAAAAAAGAGACAAAAAGGAAACAAAAAGGAGACAAAAAGGAGATAAAGAGGAAACAAAAAGGAGACAAAGAGGAGATAAAACGGAAAAAAAAAGAGAAAAAGGGGCCAAAAGAGAACGAAAACGAGACAAAAAAACGACACAAGGAAGCAACAAAAAGGAGACAAGAGAGAGACAAAAAGGAGACAAAAAAGAGACAAAAAGGAGGCACAAAAAGGGACAAAAGGGAGATAAAAAGAATAAAAAAGAATAAAGAATAAAACGACTGGCCAAAAGTCGCTGCAAAATGGCTCCTGGGGCTGTAAAAGCGCCTAAATGTGTCCAAAAAAATGGGAAAAGAAGCTGTAAAAAAGTGGCAAAAAAGTTTTTAAAAAGTTTAAAAAAGTGTAAAAAGAGTTTTAAAAAAGGGGCAAAAAGGAGACAGGAGACAGGGCTTGAAAGGGAGCAGCAAAAGGGGCAAAAGATTCGGAAGCAGCAGCAGCGAAAGGAGCAGCAAAAGGAGCAGCAAAAGGAGCCAAAGCTGCGAAAAAAGCAGCAAAAGGTGTCGAAAAAAGGCGAAAAAAAGAGCCAGAAGCCGG